TACCATTTCATTGGAAGTAACAGTATAGTCAAGTATGCCCTCTGCTGTTGTGCTGGTGAATTAAAATGCTCCCAACAATTCATCTTCAGCACAATATGTTGTGGGACAGAGAGGGCCTCCTCCACTGACCAGGAGCAGTGGCATATACATTACTGTATATGCCACCATATATACCGTTTTATGTATATAATGTATATTACATTATATCTGTACACCATTAAGAGAAGAGTGCCTGACTAATTCCACAGATACTCCCTTCTCTCTCTAAGCAGTACCCAAGGTCAGGTTGTAGATAAAGGACCAACCATCAGTGCTCAGCTCAGATGCACCAACTTCAACTCTCTTGTGTATTACACTAGTATCCAATAGGATGCAAACACCTACATGTTGCATAGTGAGTGACAGCAATTCTAGCCATTCATTGATGTGCTGTTAGAATGGATGACACAAGTAGGGGAAGATATATGGGGACGCTGTGGGAGACATCTGCAGATTTGGGGGTGACAATTGCTCATGTTATTATGTTAGCGTTTGTATATTGTTGCACCTTCCAGCTTCCAGAAAACTTCCATCACACCAATGAGGCCTTGAAGCAGTCACACATTTAAACTGGGGAAGAGACCAAAAGGCTCAAATACACATGAAATTGACACCTGAGATCACATGTTGGTAACGCATTGTAAACGCAAGTTTTGCATGTCAAGGTGTTGTCAACACATGTTTTTACATGGGGGGGGTGCACTTGAGTATAAAGATGTGTGTTTTCTGCTGTTTTATTACAGTAATTGAGCTAAACCCGAAAACTGAAATCATAGTTTTCTCATCATTTTCCTAGATGCCACTCTACTGTTTTATGTTAATTGTCTTTTCTTTTTATCTATTACTTGAAGGCTGCATAGCCACTGTTGGTTTTTGTATGTTCTAATATTTTTATAAAGCAGTGTGTGTTGAAGTAAATGGGAGTTCTTGTTTTGTTTTTGTTTTTTGCCATGGTATCAAATTGGATATTGAGAATCGTGGAAATCGACTTTTGATGTTGTGACATCCCTCGTCTCCTTGGTTCATCAAGTCTCTTTTCACCAGCTTCCAGAAAACTTCCAACACACATCATCATCTTTAATGAATCCTTTTTGATCTGACTTAATTGTTATAGGTTTTAGGTTGTATGTGTGAAAGTCTGCTTGCGATAAATGTAAATATTTTTTCGACTACATTTAAAGAGGACTAGTGCAGCTCCTAGTCTTGAATGGGCTGTTCACTTGGCCTGTTCCTTGCCATTAGTGAGTCCACCTCAAACAGACTTACTACGAACTTCCACTGTTAATTGTTTGTGTGCTGGACAAGTGAAGTGAATATTTACAGGAATCAGTCATTTGTGGCAAAGGTTTACCAATCCCCCTTAACTGTTTGCAACCAACAAGTGGGTTGTGTTTTCTACTTGTTCAGACATTTTGACATTTTGTCCTGAAGGAGCTGAGAGTGAATATTTTCTTTCTACTGTGTATTTCAGGCATATTATAGTTAAAGAGGTTGATATTTTAAAATTGCACAAAACATACACAACTTTGGCAAATCTCATTCCCTATGCATGACCACGGCCAAGATTATCAGAAAAATTGATTGATTAGTTTGATCTGGGTGTATAGATTAATACAGCTGGGTGTCTTCTGAGTAAGTACAGAAATGTCCCTCCTCCTCCTTTCCTATTACTCACAGTGCTTGTCCACTCAATGTCCACATCCTATAACTGTGTATCAGACACTTAAAGAAAAGGGTGAAGACTCAAGCAAAGATTCTTTATGTCAGTGTTTATTAACATGAAGAAATCTGTCGCCTATATTCGATGAGAAAGTATGAGATACGTCTCAGGAAAACAAAGCAGGGATGTTTTCTTCAGGAGATTCTAAGGGTGGGTCACTGAAAACATTCATATCTATTCCTGTTATAGAAGCACAACCAACTTCATCTTCTTTTCAGGTCATCTTCTTTGCATCATTGTGTGTTGGGATGGGACCATGGAAATGTATATTTGACATCCTTCATTTTGAAGCTGTAAACTGTATCAAAGTACTCCGCCTCTGCCACTGTTAGTTGGTTCTTCCAGTCTCCAGTTACCCCTGAAACACAACAAGCAAGAGGAATCATTTGAGGGAACAATCTGTCAAAATGTGTCCTTTATTGAATTGAACTGTTTTGTTTTTTATTCAGAAGTATAGCACGTAATTTCATTTATTACAATAGAGTGGTTGGCTCTGAAGATTTATTGAAACACACCTTTCCTGAGAAATTCAGCCTTTTTCTTGTCCCATGATTCACTAGGAATAGCAGAGTAGTTTGACATGTTGTTCTGCTTCATGTTCTTGAACAAACATTGTTCTGTTATCTTCTCTATCACCTCTGCGTCCAGAGGTTTCTCCAAGTACTGAGCAATTCTGGCCACAGAGTCCTTCAGGTCCTGCACCACAGAAAAGAAAAACAGCTCATATTCACACAGGAACTCTTCAGTTCTCGCAGGACGTTTCGAGAAGTACTGCTAAATCTCACCGTTATCATCTCTTCATAGGAGATGTACATGATGCGATCTTTATCCTCAGCATTCAGCCAACCCTTTATTTGATCAAACCAGGAACCATGACAAACTAGAAAGGAGAGAAAATCACAGACACAAAAATCGAATTTTGTATAACAATTATTCAGGAACTTTATGGTATTTGAACACTGCCCATATTTAACTTGGCTCCTCTATGACCACAGCTTTTCATGAATTTAATTTCTAAGGATCTACTGTTACTTACTGTCTTGTATATTGCATTGTATTGTATTTTATCTTATTATGAATAAATACTGTTTTCAGACATACACTGAACTCTGTAGAGCCTCCGGATTTTCTCAGGCCAGCTCGTTAGCAAAAACTCTACAGAATGTCTGAATGAGCTGATGTGGGAATACAGCAGGAGATCCTCCGCAGGATTAATCACAATTGATGGGATGTGTTGATGACACAACAGATATAGATACAGAAATAAAAAAGAACAAAAACAATAAATATCTCAGGATTAAAAAGCGATTCTATACATGTAGGGAACACCAACTAAGATGTCAAGAGAGCTTTTGGTGCTAAGGACAAACACATGACCTCTGCAGTGGGACAAATATGTTACATACAGCTTCTGCATGCTGAGCCACCCCTCAACTAAACACAAGATTTCTGTTGTTGTTCATGTGTGAAAGGCAAACTCTGGAAAAGGTGTGGACACAATTCTGCGGACATCCTCCGGAGTTCATGTCTGTAATGGGCTTTAGATGCATGGGTGTAATAGTGAGGCCAACCTTTTCCCTCAAGGAACTTCTGGAGGAACTCCGTTTGTGGGCCTGGGTCCACCATGTAGGTCGCTGCTTCAGAGTAATGTGAATAAGATGTAAAAACATCTTTGGGATTCCTCATGATATAGATGACCTGCAGTGACGATATGACATCCATTAATGATTTACAGAACAGAACAGTTTATTGAGTGGCACAGAAGCCTATTGAGCTGCATCGATGTTGTAGTAAAGTTTTTGTTACTTTCTAATTTTCCTGCAGTTGTAGAATTAATTACAAGTAGTGTAACTTTAGAACTACACTCCTTGTCAGTTATACAAAAGTAGAAGTGCCTATGCATCTGTGTATTTACCAAGGGTGTCACATTCAACGTCACAGGTCTTTGGAATAATTTGCTGCTATTTCGACTGCCTATAATGACATATAAACTGTATGGCAGGTGTACCTTTGGCTTTGCTTCAAAGAAGCTTGGTGGCATCATGTTGTACTGGAAGTGTGTACAATATACACGCGGTGACGGCCTCTGTGAATAGTCAGCATGGGTCTGATTCACCTCCAGCCAGGGAACACGCTCCCAGCTGAGAGAACTCGTTACAGAGGCTGGGTCTCCTCCACTGATGATCAGGGGGACAATCTCCTTCATCCAGGACGTACCTGAACAGGGTTTACCCAAGAATAGGTGAATCAAGGAAAGCTGGAGTTGTAGATATGTAACCATTATCAGGGTTGTCAGAACTGAAGAAGCCTTTTGGATGACAGGTGAAGAATCTTCAAAAAACACAAGTTAGTTCAGTTGCCGATCTACACTTGTACAACCTCTGAAGGATGAACAGAAAGTAAACAACACTATGCAACAGTTTTAAGTTTAAAATAGCTGCTTCAAAATAACTGATTGTACACAGTATTTGAAATGAAGAAACTCCTCACCATGAAAGCTGTCTCTCCATAATGCAACTTAACCGACTGATTACATTGTCAGAATCAGCCCCAGCAAGTTCGAGAGTAATGCCAAACTGTAGATCATTTAAAAAGATCTTTTAAAACTAATTTACGTTTATTATCAGCAATTCAACTTTTTGAAAAATCAAGAATTCTAAACAGAGTCTTTGTTACTGTTGCAGCACTTTAAGCAACCACTATCAAATGGAATCAACCTAATCTTTTTTGTAAATGTCTGTTTGCATTATGCAATGTTCATTGCATCTGTCCTGAATAACTACAGTTATAGTAACAATATTAACAGGATTGAACAACATGCACAGCAAGGCACAGCTGGTATCACTACTAGACACAAATTAAACTGGTTGTTACCACAGGAGAACAGTAGACATGTTGGCGAGTACTGCTGTCACAGTGTCTATCAAGTTAATCAATAAACAGTCACACAATGTCAGTCATTTAGAAAAAAAAAATGCTAGTTATATATTAAATGTTTTCAAATTGCATTGATGTGAAAATGTTAAACCCTTTTTGTTCTGACTAGAGAGCCAGGATATAAATTTGACAACATCAGCTGTACCTCTACCTCATTCCTTGTAATTCTATACACTCCTGCTCTTTCTGTCATTCTCTCGCTGACCACACACATACAGACACGGCTTTAAAAAGGGATTTCATACTCAGCCTGAAATATTCCTACAAGTAGGAGCTGTAGTTTGAGTCGGCAACCTACCTGACTTGGGATATGTTACAATGAGGATATCATCCGGGTGAAAAATAAACTCTTCATATGATTTCAGCCCCTCTGCTACGTGCAGACTTGAAGAAAGATACATCCCTTTGTACCAAAAGTATAAGTCGGCCTCAGTCATAGTTCAAAGCTAAAATGGAACACAATGTCAGCAGCAGGATTCAGGAGCAGATTCAGCTGTCGAATGATTTATGCTGCGTCTTATTATAGTCTCTCTCTTGCTTGCCCTTCGTAAATAGGTTTAGGTAAATACTTAAGGCATAAGTATAGTAAAATGGAAAGTGTACTCTGTTTGACAGTTACTAATTAGTTAAGCATACTTTTTAAGAAACTGCTTTCAATATATTCATTAAAATATCAACACTAGTGTCCTATAGCTAGCAGGCTACATAATTGTTATTTGATAGGATTTGGATGCTAGAAATTGTGTGAGTATGCCACATAGAATGTTTTGTATAAGTTAGCCATGGGGTGTTGTTTATTTTGTGTTGTGTGAAGTTTATTAGGTGAGGATTTTCTTTTTGCATCTCTTGTTTTTTAAGTAACATCATTTGCTCTAGGTTAGAGTCTTCTTTTTGTTACCTTTAGTTGTTTTTTTGAGCAGAGTCACAAGCCATTGTTTCTATTTATGTAATTTAATTTGATTGAAAATTCATCTAAGAACTCTGAAACTAAATTACTTTAATTTAAACTGTCTATTCCAACCTGGTATATGTACTTCTCTTTCCCTCTATGAGCTAGGGTCGTAACACAACTGTAACAACTGTTAAACTTCATGTGCAACCAATGAAGGCTACTAAATTAATTGGTGTAGCCTAGAGGAGTTCTTGCATTCAGGCCAAACTGTATGAGATGTTTAACCTTTGAGAACTTATGATAATGATGAAAATGTAAACCTGTTCCATAAACCCCTCCTCCTACACTTTTCTGATGTCTGCTAAAATGTCAGCGGTTGGGATTTCTTAACTTGTTTCCCTTATTAAACTGGTGATTATTTCAGTTCAAATTTTAACAGCTGACTCTCAGTGAATTACAGAACAATACTGATCGGACACTTCCCCCTGACTATGCCTCAAAATCCTGTTCATTTCCCTGAGGGGCAATTTGTTGTACAGCCAGCAATGAGTGCATTACAACAACAGCTTGGTTCTAGTGCAAGTAATATAAATGATAGTGAGTAATAATAATAATAATAAATCTACTAATTCCAGAAACTGCTGTCTGTATCTTTCTGTCTATGGCTTGCATATCTTGAAAACAATGTGGGCCAACCAAGTGATAAAATCAACTTCTGATAAGAGATGGAGACAATGAGAATATTAGATCAGGTTTTCATGCTGTTGTGTCCTGATCCTGCTGCGCTGTGGCCCTGCTTCATGTCGCGGTTGTCTGTTGTTCACACTGGCAGCATGTCTGCGGTCTGTTGCCTCAGGGTGGCCGCTCTGTAACATGGACGCCAAAATGAAAACCAAGCCGCTCTGCGGCCACGGTGGCCCAGGCACTGATTTTCTCCACTTCACAGCAGAATAGACACCACAGTTCCAATGGTTAACTGTTAAACATATGTAAGAAACATTTGTTGACCAAATCCATTCATTTATTGAAAAAAGGTTTTATTGTGAAATATTTGTAATATGAGTAATGGAAGATGCACAGCTTCATACTGAATAGTACTGGTATTTATTTGAGTACATAGGACTACTTTTATACAAGGAAATACAGTAGTCATACCAGAAACCTCAGAACGGTTGGTCAGTCCAGCCCTGACTATATGGATGATTTTGGTTCTAGACAACACAGATTACAAACATTATCATAACAGCCAAGGAAAATATGTATTTTGAAAGACTGCTGTTCATCTCTCCAGAGCAGTTGAGAGGCTTGGAGCATCTATAATGTCAACCAACGAAGCTATTCTAGAGGCTGGTGGTGGAAGAACCTTTCAACAATCTTAATTAATGCAGATTTTTCCTTAAATTGTTCCCCTAACTGTAGTTATAAATCTCGGTTGAGCAGTGGAAATCTGGTACTCGCTTCAAGCAGGATGAAGCGCATTTCATAGTGCGCTGAAGATTCTACAAGCTCTCCTTGACAGCTTTGTGTCTGCTTGTGATGCTTCATCAGTCCCTTGGTTAAAAAAAATGCTGTGTGAGAAATGCAGTCAGCATCCTGTCTTGATAGCCTCAGCCATCCAACCACACCTGGTCACCAGTAATCTCAGTTTGTCACCCGATGATTGGATCAGCTCTTTTCCACTGATAGAGACAAAACAGAGACAAAGAAGCAGAAGAGATATTTAGGAAAATGATATCTTAATGTAATGTTCAGATCTGGACTTTATCCTTACCTTTTGTAGTCCAGCCCAAGCAGACTGACTCCATTAACAGCCAGGATCCTGTCTCCTGGTAGCAGCTTCTTACAGCGGGCTGCAGGAGAGTCTGGAACCACTGTGCGGATGAAGATGCCTTTCACCCTCAAGGATGTTTCCTGGAAGTTCAAGTCAAAATGTTACTAACGTACAAAATGTTGTAGTTTACTGCTGCACTACCACAAGTATCAATCCCCTTTGAGATAAATGCATTAGCCAGTTGTTATGCTGACAATGACATTAATGACATGCTAATGTTTTGCAGTTTCTTAACTGACTAAGTGTATTAGCTTGCTAACATTTGTGCTAATATTTGTTAATTAATGGCAACACAAAGAACATACATGATGATTACATATCATAGTAATTCACTCGTTTACATATCACTAACTCACCCTTGTGTCAACTAGAGCAAGGCCGAGTCCTCCTTCACCTTTCTCCAGTTCCAAGCTGAACACCTCACCATTATCTTCATTATAATGGATGTCCTCTTCCTTCTCCTCCTGCTGCTCCTCCTCCTCCTTTAGTTCCAAAATTCTTTTCATATTGGGGCAGTCTGTCTTCAAACGGTCTCCCTTCAATGCAGCCAGGCATTCAAATACTAATCCACCTAAGAGAGAACAAAATAAGATAGACGTTCAGTTCATTTTCAAGCACAACAGCCTTAAAAAGCCTTGCTATACCTCTCTGTACCTTTGTCAGGTGCATCTACATCGTAGGTCCAGGGAAGTGTCTCGCTGTCTGCCTTTGTCCATTTATCCTGGCCAGCCTTTACCAAACTTACAAGGTCTATGAGAGGGGTGTTGGGTGGGGTGAGGAGACAGGAGGGGTCCAGAGCTGACCTACTCATCTCACTGCTCTTTGTCTCTCTGATTTGCAGCTCCAGATTTCTTAGCTTCTGCGACAAAAGGAAGGCGCCACATGAACTGAACTCATCCAGGTAGTGGGTGCAGAGAGGAGAGGGTGATGATGGGGGTGATGGAGGTGAGGCATCAGAGGTAGAAGATGGGAATGGGAGGTTCTGAACTGTACCACTCTGATAAACAGCATCAGAACAAGAGGGATAAATGAGATAAACATATTTAAAAATGAACATATTTTAAATTATTAGTTTGACATTGTGGAAAATGATGCATTGCGTAAGTTCATGCAGGAGCGTGTGCTCAGCTGCCAACTACCGATAGATTATGGGTGCTCGTCAGCCACCCACCAATCACAGCCCACTCTCTCACCAAAGCGGTCCCTTTAAATACGACCTCATCCTCACTGATCCCTGCTGCCGGCAACTTGCCTCCACCACCCCAGCCTCCACCTTTTAGCACCAAGTCCAAACACGGTCACGGTAAACGGTATAAATCATGACATAGTGAAGTTTTAGATGAGAAGACTGACTCTCTTTACACTTTTATGAAGCTAGAATGGTTAAAAACTACAGTTAGCCAATGGAAATGCTCCAAATGTTAAGTAGCTGCAGCTCCACAGACAGCTAACCCGAAGAAGTTAATGAAATTTGACAGCGGCGACACGTTGATATCAGTGAGCTGGAGGAGAGACCACCAGAGGTTGCCTCCAGATCGAGCTGCGGGCTGCAGCAACCACACACTGGCATGTAACGTCCTCCAAGTAGGCAACAGCCAATCACTCCAGTGGTACAGAGATGACAGTACATCAGTGTCTGACTGATTCTAGTCATTAAACATCTAGTTTGTGTAAATGCAGAGGTGTAATTTGTCTACAATTTGTCTGTAATGCTGCATCAGACACAGTGTGAACACCTGTGAGCTGCAGCAGTTCTGTGAGGCAGTTGTAATGCATTTAAAGTGATCACATTTATTATGTTTGCTGAATAAAGTACATATGTGATAATGAGACAGCTTAGTTCCCAGAGGCTTCTGAGTGTCAAACACAGTCCATGTTGAATATCTCAACAGATATTTATTGAAAGTCACCTTAAGGAGGAACTAGTTCCTGGAGAAGCGTCATAATTATCCTAACTGTCAGGCTCCCAGCTCTCTTTCACTCTCGTTTTCTTGCAGCGATATTTATATTGTTTAGTGTGCATATTTCAATATCATTTTAAAATCAAAAAGAATGAATGGTGTTTTTGTACCTGGTGCTCCACAGTAGTTGTGACTTCAGTAGACTTTAATTTAGGGAGTAAGGAAATAAACCCCTTGAGCTTGTCCAGCTGTTCACTTAGGGCTAAATCTGTTACTGCCCTTCTTAGTTGGAACTGGTAACCCCCGCCAGGCAGCAACAGAGGATGCTGGGTGTCAAAACTTTCCAGGATATCAGCTGAGGAAGGAAAGGACATGTTACATTCTACTCAAATGATACGATTTCCATATCCATGATTACTATTGGACACTGACGCAGAAATAACAGGCCACCAGTATGATCATCACTCACCAGTTTGAAGTACTGCAGTTTCATCCTGTACGGATGGAATCCACTTGTGTCTGCAGGAAGACCCTTGGCTGTATAGACTCAGCAGGTGGCTCAGCTGGGCTGGACTCAGGGTAGGGTAGTGAGATCGCAAGGATATCCAAGATGTCTAAATATACACACACACACACACACACACACACACCAGATCAACGCAGGGAAAACAAAAGAAATTGGTTGGTTGTAGATTTCAGCATGGCGCACACAATGTAAGTTCTTAAACTTTTGGTAACCACAGGACCCTGAGGCTACTCTTTAAGTTGTAATAGCAGTTTTTCCATGGGACGCAGCTTACACTTTCTCCCGCTCTTGTTAAGAGAAACAGAGGTGACTAACTTGATGTAGCGTAAGCAATGCCTTCTATTGCTTCCC